GCCGAGCACTTTCCCCCCATATCTGTAGTTCCACGAACTACGTTGCTCTGATTTCTCATGCATAATGGGAATACGTAGGCATAGGATTGTGATATCCTAGCGAGCACCCTTTTCTTTTTCCACCATTTCCCAGAAAGGCATGCTACGTCCGTTCTACCGCAAACAGGTAACGCCTAAGTCTCCAACGAGCGAGCAGCAATACACCTAAACTGCTAGAATGCGCACGATAACATCGTCTACCAGAACTCCCCCCGCACACCGTAGGCCGAACTACGGCTGCTCTGATTCTTTACTTCGTTCAAGTAAAGATACGTAGGCACAAGGGCCACAATCCTTGTCGAGCACATTCCCCCCTATATCTGTAGTTCCCCGAACTACGTCGACTCTGACTTTCTTACATCTATTGAGAATACGTAGGCATAGGACTGCGAAGTTCTACCGAGTCTTTTCTTTCTCTTTTCTTCCCCGTTCTCTCTTTCCTCCTAACTTTCCTGTTTCTAACCCTTCTTTTACCCTGTGGAACACTTCTTATAGCATAATGTTTAAGCAAATAAATTCACACATCGACAAACAAAAGGTTCCCATCGAGTACGATGGATGCGAGGGGTGCTAATACCTTCCCCTCGCATAACCGGCTTCCGAACCCGTTCTTGGTTGCAAGATCATCTTATCCATTTCTTTCTTAAGGTTTTCTCGATATTTTTCCTTTCCCCTCATGGGATAAATAAAGTTCGGTGGCGACTCTTTTGTCCTTTCTTTTCGCCTCCCCGTCGTTGCACGATGCATTTTTCGAGTAGCGACAGATAAGGGACTGCTTCGATCACCCGAAGAATCTCAAGTTTTGTTCGAGATACTGCTTTGGTATCATCGAAGGACCTTATTGGATAAGGGACTGCTTCGACCACCCGAAGAATCTCAAGTTATGATCAGAGATACTGTTTTGGTATCATCGAAGGACCTTATTAGATAAGGGACTGCTTCGATCACCCGAAGAATCTCAAGTTATGATCAGAGATACTGCTTTGGTATCATCGAAGGACCTTATTGGATAAGGGACTGCTTCGACCACCCGAAGAATCTCAAGTTATGATCAGAGATACTGCTTTGGTATCATCGAAGAACCTTATGTGATAAGGGACTGCTTCGACCACCCGAAGAATCTCAAGTTTTGTTCAGAGATACTTCTTTGGTATCATCGAAGACCCTTAACAAATGAGGGACTGCTTCGGCCACCCGAAGAATCTCAAGTTTTGTTCAGAGATACTGCTTTGGCATCATCGAAAACTCTTAACAAATGAGGGACTGCTTCGGCCACCCAAAGGAGATCGTTTATACTACTATGTTACCGCGAAGGACCTTAACAAATGAGGGACTACTTCGACCACCCAGAGAATGTCAAAATATTTTGTTTATTTTTCGCATCCTGTTATCCCGCTCTAGTATATCTCACTGCAGTTTACTTGTTTATCGGACAAATTTTGGGGTCTTCCTATATCTAATTGACTTCCACCTTGAAATGAACGTCATACAACAATTCATTATCTCAGGTTTAAGGCAATTAGATAGGGGCATCTGTCATACCCCAAATTTGTCCTACCTCGGCAATTAATGAATGTTTTACTGCTTCACGACTTCTGGCTGTAACTACCTAAGGCTTCGTTTATAAAGACCATGTGTGTACACATTATGGTTATAATCCCTAGCCATTTATGATGAAGAACGTGCCCCCAGCCTTTATATCCAAATTCATATGTGTCCTCGTTATCACGATTAGGTATATATGATATGGACAATGGCATAAAATACATGATTGGATCTATCTCACAATATAATGGTTGGATTTCAAGAAATTTAAATCCTATTTCAACCTGGTTACAAATTTCTCTATAGGTTGTGTGAGCCTCACTACAAGTTGCTTGTACAAGTTGCTTGTTATAGTATGCACCTGATCCAAGTTGTTCAAAGGTACTTGCTTCTGGATACGGTCAATCTAACCTCAAGCTTTGGTCGAATTGAACGTAAGTGTCCAACTATGTTTGGTTTCTAAGTCAGTTTGCGACAAACTTAGATTTAACTTGCAAATTTCAAGTCATAATTAAATTAGAATTTTGATGCAATCAGTCCCGAAGATATCTCAATTCATTCCTAAGGATTATGGTATAATGCATCTCCATTAGTTTCAAGGCCATGTTGGAAGTCCATTCTTCAAACCTCATTATAATTTACTTCAAACTACATACTATGAGGGGATGAGAGTAACTCATGACTTGCTTGGTTTTAAGATGCTTCAAAATAATCAAATTTGTTTCAAAAATTCTAAATTTTGAGCAATGCTATAGTTCCGAGTCACGGTAAAACACGCTTGGAAGTTTTGGCAAATCATGATTGTTTGTGACGGTCTAAGCATAATGTTTGTTGTTGCACTCATAAACCGTGCAATAGTGATACTAACTTGGTATATGCGAGTTGTCTCTATACAAGTCAAAAGTAATTTGAGATTTCACATACAAATTTCACTCCACCAAACATTCAAAACACAAGAGGCAGCTTGTACATTTTCAAATAATAATAAGTCGGTGGGATACAATACGCCAATGGAACTAAGAAGAACTCCTGCTAAAAATATTCCACCTGCCCTCCTGTCAAGGTTTGATTTACTGTGGTTAATTCTAGATCGAGCTGATATGAATAACAATCTTAAAATGGCAAGTCATGTTGTCTATGTCCACCAAAACAAAGAACCTCCCGCACTAAGATTCAGTCCTCTTAAACCATCTGTTCTACGTGCATACATATCCACTGCTAAAAAATTGTCTCCCACTGTCCCAAGGGAATTGGAAGAGTACATTGCCAATGCTTACTCCAGCATTCAGCAAGAATCTAAATCCACCACTCCACATTCCTATACGACTAACAAAAGATTGCTCAGCATTCTCCACTTTGCTAAAACTGTTGCTCAGAGTGATGAGGGTGAGGATTTGAGGTAAATGCAGATGTCAAAAAATTGTCTTTGTCCTCTGGTGACCGTCAAAGATGTGGTATGGATGCTATATCTGATATTTATTTGATACTACGTGATAAAGCTATACAAAGATACCATAAAGTTTGAAACATTCCTTTCATTTCATTTCAAATCATTACAAATCAAAGTCACATCACAGTTTCCAATGTTATGATTAGAGCTCCTTTTATAACTTGGAAATTACAAACAAATCCAACTGCTGTCAATAAATATAAACATTCAGGGATTGTCATTTGAATTCAAGACCTCTGCTAAGTTATACTAAACTAATTCCATGGTTGTCTCTTTGAGAGATTCACACCAAAATTCCGCTTTCAAATCTTTTTCAAGACCCCGACGTCTTCGTCGCATCATCTACAAAAGGTTCAATTATTCGTGTGCCAAAGTTTCATATGCCATAGAACAGCTTGCTACACGTGTTGATTAAGCCAGAGCTCACTCCGATTGCCGTTAAAGCTCCTCCAAGTCTCTACCACGGTCATGCGAAGGCATCAAACAGATTGCACCAAAATGCACACAAAAATAAAAATGTATCAGAGATCAGGATATGAAGGAAAGAGAAGAACAGTTCACAGAAAATAACAAGTTCCTAAGAGAGTCCAAACAAATGCACAACAGTAGGACTTAACAACAGCAACAACATTCTAAGGTGCATAACATCACTAGGCACTCAAAAGGTCCAAAGCATAAATAGAGATTTTTAAGCTACCACCAAGAATGGCACATATGCAAAAATGTGAAGGACTCGTTAATACCAAGATAGTGAGAAGTGCAGAGTAAAAAAAAACTTACAAGGACAAACATCACGAGAGTGTTTAATCTGAAGTTACCGCGCTGCTCTGCATCAGGTAAAGGCCAAATACCTGCATAACTATAAAAAAAAGCAATAAGCTCATTAGCAGCACATCTTTTCGGCAACGGATCTCGCATAAGAACAAGTTTCAACAAAACGTAATTGGAGTAAAGATGTCTAAAGTAACACAGTCATTGACAATTTACCTTCATGGCGTATCAAAAGGTTGCTTTACCAAAATGCAAGAATGGTCTGCATCGAAAAACCGTGAGCATAGGTTCGTCTCCACATTAAGACCATACGCCTTGTCAGAGATCCAACTGTCAAGTCGCGCACACCATTTCGCCAGCCGAGAACAAATAATGAACTCCCTCGTCATGCCAAGTCCTTTTCGCCGTCCCAAGTATGCTGCTTCTAAACTCTACTGCAATACAAGCTTCAAATTCCAAGAGGTAAAATGGATGATCTACTCTCCTGCCAAACTTACACAACACAAAGAAAATGGAAGTTAGTCAAAATTGAGATAATATACAGGACTAGAGATCCTGTCAACTTCAAGGCAATAAACATGTCACACATGGTTTTCAAAGATGAACATATGATTCAAAACCAAGTAGGAATCAAAACCGGATGCGATCAGTTCATAAAATAATGATATTACTAACACTGTTAGTACACTTACCATCATACCATGCATTGAGATGATGAGAAAACAAGAGAAGTTCAAGGAAGTCTCGCAAATCAGGATCTACAACAAGTAATGTTCTTATGATTATGTATTGAAGTATCATCAACGTGCTTCTTCTACGCCTTCATCACTGAAGCAAATCAAGGACCAGGCCCCTGTTTGTTATGCCAGCACCCTGCTTACCATAATGCATCCTCACTCCCTTGCCCTGCAAAAAAAAAAAGTAGAAAGCATAACGTTTAGGAACTTTTCACAACGATAAAATTCACATCCAGAAGAATGCAGACACAAAATCACTTGCAATCTTGAGGGTAACATTTGGTGAACCTAAAAAAGAGTATCTCGAAGTTGCCAAACAAGACCAACAACAGCATTCAAACAAATTACTTCTCCAGCAGCTTCAGTCACATTTTAATTAGCAGCAACAGCTTCATGTTTACACTCTGCTCTCAAGACAACAGGCTCTTGACCTAAGAGAAGTAAGGGGAGGTGATGAAATGAGATTGAATCACCTTTGCGAAAAGCTAAGAGTGAAGCTAGTGGGAAGAAAAGGATTGGAGTTGAATACTGATTCTCTCATTGCTGCTATTAAAGATGAGAGAGGCAATCGTAAACCTATTTCAACTTCTATGTCCCTTAAACCAGGTTTAGGGGTGTCAAAACTAAAAGCAGGCATTATGAAGCAAAATATATTCAGAAAGGCAAAGGTGGTGAAGAAAAGCAATAGATCCATACCTCGTGCAAACCTGAATGTAGGGAGTGCCTCTAAAGTATCAGAAGAGAATCGGATAATAGATCAAGTGCTTCCTAATGTGGTTGTTTCAGGGAATGACTTGTCAAAATCAAATCCATAAATGACAATATTTCTTCATCTATGAGTAACACTAAGACAACAATCAACTTGTTCTCTCTGAAGCTTCAGTCGGATCAGAAGATTATCATCATACTACTAAATGCAAGATCTTTATGGCATTATTAGACTAAGCCTTCGCACTATAAGCAAGCATACATCCTTCAACTGACAGCAACCATGTATATCTTGCATTCAATAAAACAAGTTACGGTTAGCTCACGATGCAATGAAAATCACGACAATTCACTGTCCTATACGGTGCAGAAGCTATAAGTTATAAAACAACAAGATACATTTATGACACAACATAAACACAAGTCATGGAGCTGCTACCAAAGAATAACATGACATGGCCTACGAAGTTGCGTTACATACAGCCAAAACATTCCCAAAGTAAAAAAGAGGAGAGAAACGAATTAATTGCACGGTTCTTACAAGTAGCCATAGCGTCTTTAGCCCAACTTTCATCATATAAATCTTCACCAATTCAAAATGGCTCAAACCAATGCACATGAAAACAAGTTGAAGCAAGGAATATCATAAGCATTCAAATCATTCATTCTTACACAAAGAACACCAACTCAATTGTAAAAAAAAGCTATTAAAGTTAAGCTTACAGAGTCTGAGCTGATGTTGTTTCCAGTTTATGGGTTCTGTCGATACCGAATACAAGTGTTGGATTGAGCTGATAAATTTGATGAAGTTAAGCCTGTGCAAAATAGAGTAAAATATCGTGGCTCAAATTGAATCACCCAGGTCTCCTTTAGCATACCACAGATACAATACGAGGGAATATTCAACACCGGTTTGTCATAACAAATGATTTGCTTGGGGCTATGCTCGCCTGCAGCCAGATCCCTGTAACTGGACCAATTCCTAAATAAGTTATTTATCACCTCATTCTTACAAAAAGGTTACAGAACAGCTGCAAAAATATGAACAAGAATCAAAGTCAGCAAAAAAAGTTGTAAAAGAACATGACAGTTATAACAGAATGTGGCAGCAAGAACAAAAAGCATTTAGTCAAAAAAAAGAGTCTCACATCAGCAAATTGATAAGCAGTAAAAGAAACATTTTCACACAGTAAAAAATAGGGCAAAAATCAATTTTTTTTAATTCACTACAGACAAATGCAGAGGTCACTATCAAGTCTCAGAAAAGCAGAAATCATGGTATTACCTCCTAACAGAATCGTACTACCCAAATGCTCCTCATTGTCCTACCTCACACGGATCAAGCACTCCCTTCAGCAAAATTCAAATTCTCACACGTATCAAAAACCCTAAAAACTATCCTATAAATACGGTCCTGTTCATTGGCAAAAAGGAAGAAAAAAAACCCTAGCGAAGCTCTGTTAAATTCTTACCCAAACCCCTCACTCCAAAGCTCATATCAACAAAGGTTTCTCAAATTCACCATTTGAGTCTGAATAAACTTTGAGTTTGAACACGCATATATTCACTCAGAATAATATATTTCGAAGAAGAAGAAAAACGGAAAAGTGAAGCGTTTACCTCTTACCTCGCAGATACGCCGTCGGGATAGCTCCAAGCAGGTGAGTTCCTTTCGCACTTAATTTTTGTTTATAGTTGCTGGAGCGCCATGATTTATTCGTTTCAGTACATTATTTTATGATTATGCTTTGAACTATGGTTATTGAATTTCTATTTGAGTTGGAGTTAGGGTTTATAGTCTGATTTGGGATAGAGTTATGAGGAAGAAGGTAACGAAAGCGAGGTTTGAGAGGGGTAGTCCGTCGGTTTGTTTCGAGAGAGATTCAAAGGTGTTTTTTTTAGGAGAAGAAACACGTGTTCCTTTTAGTTTGTAGAGAGAAATAATTGTGGGGGATATCTGACGGTGTGGGTGGTGAATTGATGGAGTTATCCCTTTGTCTTATCTACTTAATACGTCTTTTCCCAACACAATTTTTAAATGATACCATTAAAGGATATCTGACGCGCCACCCTTGGGAAGAAGTCAAACAGACCTCTCATTTCTTGCCCATTTAATTTATTTAATAACATAGCATATTTTATTTTGAGAGGTTAACGGGCCTCCGACCCAACCCGGTTAGAGACAAGATCTGTGGGCCTCTGCAGTTAGCATTTTGGACTCACACCCTTCTTTTCCTATATATCCCCTGTCTGTTTAAGATTTTATTTGATTAGGTTTTAGTAATTAATTTAATTATTCTTATTCCAATTCTTAGATAATTTTTAAAATGAATAAAATAGTCAAACTTTTAAGAAAATGTTATCTTTATAAAAATGTTATCTTTATAAAAATGTTATCTTTATAAATTAAAGTTATAATAATTATTTTAAAGGAACTTGTCTCATTAATTTATATGGAAGTGGTGGATCCTTGGAGTCTAGCACTCCTTGGATCCTTAAGTGATCGCTCTCGAGGTGCACACCTTGAGTTGTGGTCACTTCGTCTTTCATCCTTAGAATACCCAACCTCGTTTAAACCTTCAAAAAGTCGCAAACCCTAATTCGAGCAATACGCTCACCCTAGTTCAATCTACACACTAATATTTTCAAATTATTTTCATAATTAAATTACGAAAGTATCGAGTTCTTGGAGTCGCGCATTCCTTGAATTCGAGAATAATTACTATCAAGGTGTACACTTTGAATAGTATATCATTCGAACTTTCGTTTCTAAAACACTTCTTAATTATTTGGACCAATACTTACATTGTCCAACAAGCATATTTTATAGTTAATTGAATGAAAAAGGTATCGTTGGAATCTAGCATTCCGGTAATATCTCGATTAATTGATTGCGAGGCCGACGTCTCGTTTATCGATTAGTCATCATTCCTCCTAAAGTTTTCAACCCATCTAACCTCGTTCCTCACCCACGGGCGATCGAGTCTAAACCTCCCGTACTCTTATAAAACCATACGTCAAACTCAAATCATTTCTTAATCAAATTACGAAAGAACTGAGTTCTTGGAGTCTCGCACTCCTTGAATTCTTGAGTAACTACTCTTGGGGCGTACGCTTTAGGTTGTGGGTTGCTCGACCTTTCGTCTATAAAACATGTGCCCTAACTACTTGGACCAATGTCATTATTGTCCATTCGAATACAATTTCATAATTAATTGAATGAAAAAGGTGTTATTGGGATCTAGCATTCCAATAATATCCCGATTAATTGATTGCGAGGCCGACGTCTCGTTTATCAAGTAGTCGTCATTCTCCCTTAAAATATTCTATCCAACCCTCTTCTCTCGCCCCCGTGCGATTGAACTTTCTCAGACATATTCCGTAATTATTTGAATGAAAAAGTTGTTGTTGGAATCTAGCATTCCAATGATATCCCGATTAATTGATTACGAGGCTGACGTCTCGTTTATCAAATAGTCGTCATTCTCTATCAAATTACCTAACCAAACTCCTCTTTCTTACCCCGTGCAATCGAAACCTTAAACCTATTTAAATATATCCTCTAACCAAAACATCCAATGCGATAAACCTAATCCCTCGCCCTTGCGCGATCCCTACATTTCAAACAATCCATTACCAAAGAACATTGTTTAGTCCTTTCTTCCGTGCATATGAACCCGTGCTTCAGCCTCCCCTAGCGAGCAGACAAGCCAACGTTTAGCAGTTAGAATGCGACCTAAACACTCGTTCATTCCCATACCCAAAACCTTTTACCGTAGTTAGCCGAACTACGGCTGCTCTGATTCTTCATTCCCTCTTGAATGTAAGATAAGTAGGCACAAGATTGCGATGATCTTGGCGAGCACAATCCCCTCTTTTTTCCCGAAGTCCCACGAACTACGAATGCTCTGATTTTCCACTTCTTACAAGTGAAGATACGTAGGCACAAGGGCCCCAATCCTTGGCGAGCACCCTATCTTAAAACCACCCATTCCCCCTATAGGAGAAACCTTAGAAGAAAACAAACAAGCATAGCTAACTTTACTCTCGAATCGATCAAGAGGTTCCCGTTGAGTACAACGGACGTAGAGGGTGCTAATAACTTCCCTCTGCGTAACCGACTCCCGAACCTAGAATATTGGTTGCGATGACCATGTTCTTATCTCTCTAAAGGTTTTATCGATATTTTCCTATTCCATCGTTGGAATGAATAAAGTTCGGTGGCGACTCTGTTTCGAACAGTATTTTCCGCGTCCATCGTGAGGATCGTATTTTTCGAGGTACGACAATACTCAACAGTTGTCTTCTATCTGGGGCAAAGTCCATATTGTATTTGTAATGCTTTATGAAAGCATCAGCCAAGTCTTGGAAACTGTGAATGCGAGACTGATCTAAACTCAAATACCACTTAGCAGGGGCTCCTTTCAAGCTATCCTGGAAACAATGGATCATCAACTTATCATCTTCTACATGTGCGGCCATTCTTCGGTAATACATGATCAAATGTGTTCGAGGACAGGTAGCACCGGTGTACTGATCAAAGTTGGGGATTTTGAATTTTGGCGGAATTACCAACCCAGACACTAAACACATATCTCTGGCATCAGTACCAAAGATATCATTTCCTTCCATTGCCCTAACCTTCCTCCCTATAGTTTCTACACTCTCCTTCAACTTATCATGTTGTCCACTTTCTTCTTCGGACCTATCAGGAATTTCAAACACTTGTGGATGACTGTGAAAAACAGGGCGCACTTGAGTCTATACAGAGGTTGGAGTATAAGTCGGAATAGCTCAGGGAATTTCTGTCCCTAGAGGAACTGATTGTTGACTGACTGGTGGAGGAGGCACAAAACCTGGTGTGAGCCCATATGGTGGAATACTTGCAACAGTGACTACAGTGGTCTGAGTGTCCATTTTCGCATTGATAACTTGTAAGACTTCCATGATTCGTCCTACGCTTCCTCGTAAATCTTCAAGTTCGTTGTCAACCCTATCCAGAGCCGCATTGTGTTCTTCCATTCTTTGGCGAGCTTGGGCTCGTGTTTTGTATTGATGGCGAGGATTCAGTATGATTCTGGAGATAAGACAGCGAGATGAGACACAG